GATGTTCATAGGTGAGATTTTTGAAAATAGGTAATTAGTTGGTTTAGGGCATGAAAAGCATTGTGAAAATCCTGTTCTTTAGCCTGTGCAGATACCTCATATTAAACATATCTGCTGTTTTGATTTGAGCTGTTCTACATCCGTGGAAAAATGGTGCTAAATCCTGCCTCTGCCAAAGCTAATGGGAACTGAGCATCTAGTTTCAGAGGAAATTAAATCAAGCCTATACAGCTGTTTCTGGAGTCTCAAAAGCAAAACCATTGAAGTTGCTGGGGATTTTTTCAAATGTAATGGTTTCACAGTAGCAGTGATCTTGCAGCAAGAGCTGATGAGTGCAATTCACACATTGGCCATTCCATAAAAAGGTCTGAAGTTCCTTGGGTCAGCAGTAGGGCAGTATAATACAGAGATAGGAGGATTAGATTAAAGGAGAATATATCCATGGTTTTGTTCAGGTCAGCTGTTGGCACAAGCTGGAATGTTTACATGCTGTAAACTGAAATGTCTAGAAATACTTCACTTCCATAATCATCACACTATATTGTTGGTAACAGCAAGAATAAAAAAGGCATTTTCCCATCTCCATTAGGGCTGAAAATAGTTTCTATCAGGAGCAGCATCCTAGCATCTGCTGTGCAGGCTTTGCTGAAAGTTCTTCTGATGCTGCCTTGGACGCTTCCATCTGCCTTCCACTAGATCCTAATATTCTTATTTTGAGATTTGCCTTCTAGTACTGATCCAATCAGTATTTGGATTTGGGATTAGTGCTCTTAATTGTCCATTGATAAGGCAGAGAGAGGAGACCAAGGTAACAGGCATGACCCTGTAAGTGTAGGTAACCTTGCCAAAGTTTCCTGTCCTTCTATGCTCCAGAGCAGCCTTTCCCTCAGCTTTTCCTTTTGGCTTCCCCAGTATTCAGTCTAGCCCTCAAGAAGTGCATTATCTAGCACTCTGCTAATGTATTCTTTTTGAGAGTAGAGATGAGGGAAGAAACAGCCATGGGAAAAGCATATAGAATGTCTAAATAGGTTTTCACTTCGCATCTTGTGGCAAGTGGCTCACAGGGCATCCACGTTGCATACAAGGGTTTGTCAGCCCAAAGGTCCTTTTCTCCTTGTATGGGTACCAGGAGGATTTTCCTTACCTTTGGGTGTGGTGTCTTGCAGGGTAACTGCACGTCTTGCGACGGCCGGAATGACGCAAAGGATTATGCCCATATCCGCTCTGCTATGAAGATCCTCATGTTCTCAGATTCTGAACACTGGGACATCAGCAAGCTGCTGGCTGCAATCCTGCACCTGGGGAATGTAGAGTTCGAAGGTAAACTCAGCGTTGTCTGTGCTTGGCCTTTCCTCAGACTCCATGGTAAAGGCCTAAATGTGCTGCCCACTTCCATCTGTATGGATTAGGTTGTGCTGCTCTGCCCTGTATAAACACGTGAACTGGGTTGGAAGGGCTGGCAGATAAGCACGAGGAAATTCTGATCTGTGACTCCACTGCTTAGTGTTTTAAAAACCATCATCATCATCATCATCATATTATTATTATTATTATTTTGTCACACCATCAGGTTTCCATGGTTATAAATAAGCCCTTATCACACAAACTGAAACAACAGATAATATATGTTACATTTTCTGATTGTTGTGCTACACAAGCCAGTGGACACAGGAGCAATTGAGTGACGTTTGCTGTGGAGATGATAGCAGTAATTTTCCTGGCTGGGTTTGGTGAACACTCACCTGCAGAAGTGCACTTCTGGTATGGCACAGGCACTGTGTGAGACACCCACCAGCGGGATGCCGGAAGTTCTCACATTTTAGAAAAGGACTCCTTCTCACTTTGTGATGCAGAGGGCCCAGTACAATGATGCCAGCTGGATTCTTTGGAGTAATGATGCCTGCTAAAATGAGGGTTTTCCCACATTCCCTTTCATTATCTAAATTTCCCACAGGCCAGATACACGAAAAAATATATTTTCAGAAACACATTTTCCCAGATCCCCAAATAGCAATCCAAATAGCTACTATATAATCTACTACTTGACAGTTTTGCTGGTATTTTAAGCCTGATGTTCTGGAGTTGTGAGGGCCCTGTACATCCCAGGATCCCTGGGTGAAATCTGGATGCTCAGTAAAATCATCAAACCTGGGAGTTTCAAAAGAGAACTTACTGCCTAGCCAGTTCCTAGAGCTACAGTGTTACACAAATAGGGCTGCAATAACAGCACAGTCCCCCACCGCAGCAGCAATGATTAACCCTGAGACTGACTATTTTCTCATTGTAGCGGCTGTGTACGACAACTTGGACTGCTCTGATGTGATGGACTCACCACACTTTTCAATCGCAACCAAATTGCTTGAGGTAACAGACTCTCACCTTCTCTTACTAGTCCTCTCCTTTGCCCTTGCTCCCTGAGCACATTGACAGAGCATGTCTCTGTGGAGTGTTTATGTACAGATACATGTATAATGGGCATGTCCCCTTCTTCCTGCTGGTGCTCAAGCGATGCGGTTGCAGATGTTTCTCTGAGCTAGGAGATCTTTAACTGGGACAGCAGGCCACCAGCAAAGGCTGCTGGACAAGCAGTTTGTCATGGCCCGCTTCCTGAGACAGACTTTGCTGGATCTCCTTTATCCACCTGGAATGACCAGGTTGCCATGACTGTTCCTCCAGGTGGACTCCAGTGAACTCCAGAACAGCCTCACAAACCTCTCCATCATTGTCCGAGGAGAAAGTGTGTCCAGGCCCCTGAACATAGTTCAAGCTGCAGATGGGAGGGATGCCTTTGTGAAGGTACTGGTGCTTACATCTTCTCTGTTTAAAGATTTGGGATGCTGTCAGAGCTGTCTGTCTTAGTGGTCAAGGAGCCTTATGTGGCAAACATTCACCCAGAGGGTACGGTCCCTCGTAGTTCTCAGGCATAGTCTAACAGCGTTGTAGCAACACGATAGCAAGCAGTAAGCTATGTCCAAAGATGCTAATGATGGGCTCTAATTCCTCTTTAATTTTTTCTCAGGGCATATATGGACGGATTTTCCTGTGGATAGTGAACAAGATCAACTCAGCCATTTTCAATCCAACTTCTCAGAAGGCTAGAGACAGACGTCAGTCCATTGGGCTGTTGGACATTTTTGGGTTTGAAAATTTCAGCAATAACAGGTAGGAAGCTCTAGATTCGTTTCCACTGGGAAGCCAAAAAGCAGCTGATGTAAAGGGAAAGAATGAAAAGCAGTGAAATTTCCATCGCTGAATTTTCCCAATGATGATCATGCAGAGATTCTGTTTTTATTCAGTCTTGGTCATATTTCTGCCTCCTCCCCCAACCTTCATTTTGGTGCAGCCATTGCACATGTCTATTCCAAAGCCCCAGGAATTTTCTCAGAGGAGATGGCTATAAACCTGCTACGAGCAGGCAGCCACTATGTGAGGATGTAGTATGTCCCCATGTCTCTGTACCAAACTTTCTTGTTCTGTAGCATTTTTACAATGTCTCGTGGGATACATTTTGCATATAGTACAAAGGAGGCCATATTGTGTTTCCCATTTCATCTCATGCTTCCATCTTGCTCAGTGTTCTCCCGTCCCTTTTTTGGGACTGCTTAATTTCTCTACTCTTACTGACCAGGTATTTTGCTGACCTGTCCTTATACCATTGTCCCACTGCTACCTATTCTACTGGTGGTTTCAGTCCCAAAGCACAATTTCCGTTTGCCTTTCTCTATGGGGGCAGCAATTCTCTCAGTTGTATGGTACCATATCATCAGTACTCCACAAACCATCAGCATGTATTCTGCAGTCTTTTCCAATTCATTTCAACTGATGCATCTTGCTTGCTTTCAACAAGGTAATATTCCTCACTGCCTTTTGAAGCATGGTCTAGGATTTGTTCAGCCCATCATCTGTCTTTTGTGTTCTCTCCTATTATTTTATGCTGTTCCCAAAGGCTGCAATCCACATGTAGCCTCACTGTGGTGAGCACTCCACAGGCACACAGTGTGCCACAGCAATTACCAGGTAATGAAACTCAGGTGCAGCATTAAGGAGTAACTAACAAAAGAAGTGGTAGTGACAGTGCAAGTAAAAACACTTCACACACTCATACAGTCAAGCTATTTTCATAGTTATATGTTCCCCTTTATCTCTAGAGTTTCTTGAAACACATACAAGATCTTTCCTTGCTTACTCAGCAACACTCAATTCTCAGTTGGCTCATTTCTGCTTACCTTTATCATAGCAGAAGATGCATCCCTTATATTGCTAAGAATGGCAACATGGTGGTGATCATTAATACTGTGGAAAATAGCAGTAGTATATCTGGATATGTATTTAATACAGAGAATAAACTAATACCAGAGAGCAGTGCAGCATTGGCCAAGGATGACTATCTTGTCCCCTCCCCAGCTTTGAGCAGCTCTGCATTAACATAGCCAATGAGCACCTTCAGCAGTTCTTCGTGCGCCATGTCTTCAAGTTGGAGCAAGAGGAATACCTTGCAGAGCACATTGCATGGAATAATATTGACTTCACTGATAACCGCCAGGCTCTGGAAGTCATTGCGCTCAAGCCCATGAATATAATCTCCCTCATTGATGAAGAGAGCAAGTTCCCAAAGGTAAATTTCTGGTTTCACCTGTAATGCCTGGCTTTGCACACAACTCACAGGTAACACCTGGCTTTACACACAAAAAATTCCAAAGGTGGCTTTCAGATACATTGTGAGAGGCAATATCTTCACCTCCCATAGATGTTCCTTTTAAATCAGCTCACTATACAAATGCCTCACTCTCTGCTGGAGTGTGGTCTTCTTGGTACCTCGCTGTTGAAACTCTTACAGCTGTTCCAGACAGGGAATGAAAGTAGCATCTGATTGCAGACATCCCTGCAGAACATTTTCATAGTCTCCAGAGCATGGTGAGGCTAAGCAGGAGTGCTGGTACAGGAATCAGACAGCAATGTGGCTTTGTCCAGAAGAGCAGGTCCCTACCTCACCTCATTTGTAGTTCTCAGGTAACAATTTGAGAGGATCATGTACAGGCAGACAGCTTTCCCCTTTCTTCCCTAAGAGGGTCATCCCCACTGTATGTCCTGCAGTCAGGACAAGAAAGTATCTCTATGATTTCTGGAGTACATGACTTCTCAGATAACACAGCAGTCACTACCCCTAGCACAGGCCAGTGGGCAGAGCTAGCCTCACATGCACCACAGGGGAATGAGATTGTGATGGCACCCCTTGAAGGGAAGCACCCGGCTTCCTGGCTGTCTGTGGAAGTCACGATCTGGGCATGCTGATTGATATCTGCTCAGGGCAGCCTTCTTGCAGGGATCTCTGAGTCTTTCACCAGTTGGTGAGTGAAGGATGAACTGTGCCTGCCTGGGAGAAGGAGCATGCACCCCTCAGAGCATGTCTGGGTAGGATGGCATGGGAAGGTTGGTGAGAGGCTCTGCTTGTGAGGTCCAAACATTTGCGAAATTCTCAGCATACCTGGCAATGTTAGTAATGTTATGGGGACTTGTGTACAGCCCTAAAATACCAGGCCTTATGCTCTGGTGGTGTGTTCTGTCCTGATGCTTGAAAGAAGGGTCTGTGTAAAAGGGAAGACACTTCTGGCACTACCTTCCTCCAGATCTATTACACAAATAAGGGGCAGAATTTGAGTTTTTGTTATCTCTGAGCACCACTTCCGTTTGTTCATTGAGCATAAGCCAGTGCTGGGAGGAACCTGTATAACTGTCCCTTTTTGCCTGTGTTTGTTTCTAGGGCACAGAAGCCACCATGCTTGTCAAAATCAATTCCCTCCATGGCAAAAGTAAAGTCTACATCCCACCTAAGAGTGTCCATGATACCAAGTTTGGTATCAACCACTTTGCTGGGGTTGTCTTTTATGAATCAAAAGGTGAGCCTATCTCTGCTGGATACGGAGGATGAAGAAAAGGGCATGACCTGCCTTGGATGTGTGGCACTCCAGGGTAGTGTTGATCTGAAGTCAGATCAGGAGGTCAGGAGGATTACTCTAAACTAATCTGCAAGTTACTGTAAATGAAGTGGTTTTTAGCTAGACAGAGTGGTGCTAGAGCCACCAGGCTGCAGAGGTGACAAGCTGATTTTGTTTCCATCCTATAGATTTCCTGGAGAAAAATCGGGATACGCTGAGTGCTAATGTAATGCAAGTGGTTCATTCCTCCAAAAACAAATTCCTGAGAGAGATTTTCCAGGTGGAAATGACCCAACCTAGTCTGGGACGTGGGACTATCCGGCATCTTGGAGCTGACCAGGCCTACAAGGTTGGCTTACTGGCACTGGGTTGCAAAACCAACTCATTTCTCCTTCTTTCTATAAGGTTCTGGATGTTCTTGACCTCCTCTTCCTTTTGCACTGTCTCTACAAATCCCTATCCCTTTCATTCAACTGATTTCTGCAAAGGAGTCTGCAGGAAATGTTAGGGTCTGGTGTTCAGGCTGTAAGCAAGTGTAATGTCAGCCCTGTCTCCCAGGACTGCATCCAAGGACATCTGTGTAGCCATGCCTGCAGGCTGTCACAGAATCATAACTTGTGCTACTTCCCCATATATTGTCATCAACTAGATGGGTTTGCTCTTGTGTCTGCCTGGGCATCCATACTGCATCCACATCACCATGACGGGCGTAAATTAGTAGGAGGAAACTGTAGTGCAAAAGGTTCATTGGAACGGAACAAGGCACCAGCCGAAGACCCCTCTGCAAAGCCAGTACCTGTTAAGAAGCCAGCAGCTAAGCTGCTGCCATACTGCACATTGTAGCCAGTCTGCTGGGACCATTACACCAAGGGGTCTGACTGGGCAACCAGCAGGTGGGTCCTGGCCTTTTTGTTCTTGCAGAGGGCTGACACGCTAGCACAAAGGAGCAAATACCTGTGCTGTCACAGAAAGATACTCTGTCTCCTGCTCCCAGTGATGCCTGTAGACACAGTTTCACTGCCGTGCATATTGCTGCAACTTGGCCAAGAGAATGAGTGACAAAGTTCATGATGGCTAATTATCACAGAATCATCTGAGCCTAGTGCTGTAGGGAGCCTTGTCCTATGCCTAACAAAAATTAGGTTGTAAAGCACAGTGGACTAGAAACAGCATAGGGCATAGTTCAAGTTCTCTGCCCTGCTGCAACTTTCACATACCTTGATTTCTCATTATGCAGTGTCATCACTGCATGAAGACACTTATGCTTTTAATGTTTATATCCCTGAGTTTTCCTGTCAGGGTACAGAACAAACAGTGAACTTGCTATTTTACCTGTCTGTCTGTCTATTCTCCTGGTATTGTTTTCTCACCCTGTCCTTTCTTCCTCAGTCTTTATCCCAATGTGGCTTTCTGCTGTCCAGAACATCTGGCCATGGACAGGTAAACATCCTGGGGGAGAAGAATGTCAGAAGTGGTACAAGCAGCAACAGAGAACTGGCTTACCATCTCTTAAATGCTATGAATACCTTCAGATTAAATATCAGGTCTATCTACATCGCTCTAATGCTCTAATGGTTTTTGTCTCTATAAATAATAATAATAACCCTTTCCTAACATTTAGAAAGTACAGCAGCATATCAAGAAAGGAGATGCTAAATGTGTGCTACTGCCCATTTCAAAATGCATAGAAGTTAGCTAAAATACCCCTATTAATTTCAAATAGTTTGGGCCACCATTGGGAAGCCTAAGAAGCAGGCTACAGAAAAGAATAGTGAATGGAGTGCCAGAAAAAACTTTGCTGTCCTGAGGTCTCAGAGTTCCTCTCCTGGCACACCATGGGAGAAAAGTCACAACCATCTCAAGAACAAATTCAGCTTTAACAATGTTATATGTGTGAGATCATGAGGGCATGGGCTTCACACTTGGGTGGCCATCCCACTGATTTACTGGTACAGCAGAAATGCCTCTAAGATCTGGGAGCGCAAATTGCTTTTAACTCTTACACAGTTTAAACAGATACATGCTGTTACCGTATCTACTTCAAAGAGATGCTTGCTAGCCCCAAGATGCATCAGAGTTGCTATGAGACATTCCCAGGAACTGTGTTCGGTCGCTAGAGGGCAGCATTGCCCTGTAGCTAAAGCAGAAGGTGGCAACTTGAGTGTTAAAAGGGTACTTTAAACTTAAGAATCAGCAGAATGAGGTACCGTAAAGACCATGGAAGTGAGAGGAGCCACTGGACTTTAAATTATTTACTTGGCAAAAACCCAAAACCCCACAACCCCCCAAGACCCGCAAACCAAACAAACTAGCTGTATTGTGCTGAAATTATTAGCTCCATGCCTGTATGTAAAAGGCCAGTTGGAGTCCTTTTGTTGCTTGGAATCTGCACTGTTGTCACTGTAATTTAATGTGGTCTTAAAACATATTAGGAAGTAGAAGCTTAGGCCTATTGTGATGATCTGTGTGAAAAAGACATAGGTGGAACCGTGCTTTCAGAGAAGTTGGGGAAGTCAGGAGCTAACTGCAGCCAAGCGTTATCCCTCTGGGGTTACACTATTGCAACTGGGAGCAAAATTCAACCCAGGAGTGGTGAGACATAAAGCACTTTATATGCAGTCATAAATGGAGTAGCTCTTACCTTATCCTCCAGTAAAAGTTTGCCTTTTCACTGCTTACTGTAGTATTAACGAGCGAGGTAATCAGTCATCCTAATCACTAAGGAATGAGCTGTTCTGGATCTTTAGCATTCCTAGTTAGCTATGGGATGGCAGCAAAATGTCTGGCCTGGAGGTTTATTACTGCTTTGGGAGTGGCTGTTTCTCATCAAGCGTTCAGGCACACACCCATGAATAATAGCTTAGCACCCAGGCCCTACACTAAACACAGTTTTGGCTGGAAGAGACAGGCCTATGTGGGCTCATGTGGGTGGAATTTCTTCCTTCACAGCTGCCCCTACTGCTAGAACATAGTGCCCAGAGGTAGGTGAAAGAGCTCAGTGGGGTTTCTTAGCAAGAATAAACCCAAATTAATACGATGCAGATGACTAATTTATCTCCCATATAGGTAAATAATTTTTTTCTGACACTTGTGTGATAGTGTTACGATGTACAAAAATACAAAGATTTGTTAATTGACCCTCTGACAGGGAATGATGTAACAGTCAGCATGTGCTTACTCTTCCCAGGGCTTGGATACCACCAAACGGCTCTCTACTCTGGGAGGACAGTTCAAACAATCCCTGGAAAAACTAATGAAAATCCTTGAGCAGTGCCAGCCATACTTCATCCGCTGCATCAAGCCAAATGACTACAAGAAACCACTGGTAATGTTTTAACAGTAGGAGGTCTTGTCTTCAGTAAACTTTTTAATGAGAAAAAGCTGTGAGTTGCTGTGTAGCATTTTATATCTGTACTTCAGCCAAGAAGAGCTGGAGTACAGGCTATTACTAGAATAAAAAGGATGGTAGGATATAGCGTTAATTTACAAAAACATCTCTAAAAGCATCGTAGAGGAATAGATGGCAAAAAAGCACATAGGTGTATTCCTGAGAGGAGTTGTAAAAGCCTTTCCTATAAAGACAAAACTGGAGAGTTTCTAGCCTCTCAACCATGGCACAAACAAAAAAAAAATAGGATCCAACAATGATCATACTATGAAATAGCTTGAGAGCTGTTGGTGTTTGAGAGGGGTGATGTGGCTTAATTTGACACTACAGAAGAGGAGCGAGTTTGTCATTAAGACACTTGGCGGGAAACTCAAATCACAACCCAGTTCTACATTAAAACCTTGTATGGTGTTGGTTGAGTGACTTGACAATTTTTAAAATATTGCACATGGCTTAGTGAGCGTATTTTTAATCTGCATTACAAGCAACTAGCAGTACTCAGGCCTAAGAGTCTATGCCCAATGGTTCTAAGTTGCTGCTGCAGTGATTTTGCACCTGCAAAATTATATGAACAATTTATTGTTCATCTGAAACTGAAGTTTCAGAATTGAAAATGGTTGCTAAAGCCAGACTGAAATTAATGGACTGTTTCCACTGCCAATAAACATATATTTGAAGATCCTTTAGGGTGACTTGTTTAGGCCTGTAATGAATTAATTTAGGGCACTAAAGAAATAAGAAGTGCAATTAAAAAAAAGCATAGTAGGCCATCTTGCGGGCACTCTAAGGTTGAAAGTTAATAGATATGTTCTGAGGAATGCTGCATGCGTAAGCTTCTTTCAGTGCTAAGTCTCCTCCTCGTCTGCTTTCCCTTTCAGTTGTTTGACCGGGAGCTGTGTATCAAACAGCTGCGATATTCAGGGATGATGGAGACCATTCAGATCAGGAAAGCTGGCTACCCAGTTCGCTACAGCTTTGAGGAGTTCTTTGAGAGATACAGAGTTCTCCTGCCATGGTCTCTTCGAAAACAGGTGCGTTAGCACAAACTTGGTTTAAGGCTAAACTAACTTTTCTTTATGAGGCTTTAGTCTTCCCCACAGTAGAAAGTTCTTGGATTATTGCTGGCACAGTTGAGGGAGCTGTCATTATGGTAACTGTCGTCACAGTAACTGTAGCTAAATACTTACATAATCACTTGGACCGTAGCTGAAATGGTAGAGGTTCTTTTAGGTCCAGCTATCCTTGACCTGCTCCACACAGACATCCCAGGCAGGGTGGCATCCCCATTACCCTCAGATGTTTCTTTTCTATAATCACACACTTCTGAGGTCTCTCACATCTTCCTCGCACTTGAACTCTGGAATGCCTGGCCATGCACTCATGTTCCTGCTTTTCTTGACCATTTGAGCTGAAGCACTTTCATTCATTATACTGTCAGCCCAGAGGTCTGTAAGACCTCATCTGTTTCTGTTCTTTGCCCTTTGAAATGCAGGGCAATAGATCCTTACATAGAGTGCTGTGTTTCCAATCAAGCCCTAACATGATGATGCTTTTGCACATCAGCTGAAGAATGATGCTCGCCAGAGCTGTATCAGCATCTCTGAAGCAGTGCTGGGCAAGGATGAAAGTTGGCAAGCTGGAAAGACCAAGATTTTCCTTAAAGTAAGTAGAAGGAACAGTTTATTGTCTCTTCTCCTGAAAAACTGGATGCTTCACAATATAGTTTGACCTGCTTATGCAAGAGTGGTAACCCAGAAGGACTGGGTTCTCTTATAAAGTCTCTCTTGAATCTGAGGCTGGATCTTTGTTCCTGAAGGCCAAGTAATTTAATGGACACAGCTTAGTGCAGGAGAGGCTGATCCTGTTCCTGTGCTCCAGCATTGCAGCTAAAACAGCACGATGCAATGTATTGGTTTCTGCTCAAGCCTTGAGCATGAAAAAGAACTGGATACCAGCACACCGTTGCAGGGGACTTCCTTGTCCATAGCATTCCTCCAGGTAAAAACAGTCTTACTGCAGGCACATTCTCTGCTTGTTTATGGCTACAGCCAGACACAGTGTGGTCAGGTGGTCTGCACTCTTCGTCCTGCAGTTCCACAAATGCATTTCAATTGCACTACATCACGCTGATTTGGGGCCTCTCTCAGACCATGTGTCCAGTTTTCAGAAGTTGTGGTGATGTCTGCTCATCTGGTATATCCATGCTTTTTTTTAACAGGATCATCATGATACAATATTGGAGCTGCAACGCCAAAATATACTCACAGATAAGGTTCTTCTTATCCAGAAGATGATGAGAGGATGGAAGGACAGGTCAGTGACCTTACACAAAGGAATTTGCTTTGGTTTGAAGCAATAATCTTTGTGGTGCTGTTTAACATGCTCTGTGAAGCATTGTTGAGTATGAAATGTATCAATCCCTACCTTCTACTAGTCCTAAATTCAGCGCTCATCATATAGCAGTGCACAGTTCGTTGCAGAATAAGCTGAGCCTAGGTGAAATCTCCTAAGGCCTTTATTGACAGGAAAGGTCAGGCAAAACAGTCTATTCTGGCCATTCCATCAGCAGAGAGAACACGTAAGCAGACAAAATGCTCTGAGTGAGGATAATTTTGAAGCACATGGTACAAAGTATCTGACCAGACTAATCTTTCTGCTGCAATGTAATACTTTTCTTGGGCTACTCAGAAGCAGGAAGAACAGCCCTTGGTGACCTTCAAACTTGCCCTGGCAAGATGTCCACTAGTAATTGAGCTAGTTAGTTTAAGAATAGCTTTCTGGGCTCTAGTGTTCCTAGACAGCAGATGAGGCTGAGATCAGACTGTAGACAACCCATAAAAGGAAAAAAATGCCACTTTATTCTTTACTATCATCATAAAAAGCAGTAGAAATAACCTATTGCTTGTCACCTCACCTGTCTGTCTGCTTAGGAAGCAGTTTCTGAAACAGA